CTCTCAGGTCTTGGTCATCTCAGCAGTCCCAAGCAAGACAAACTCCTCCCAGAGAGTGCCCCGGCAGCAGGGTGCTTTGGAGCTCTCCAAGCCCTGCCCTGCCACTGCAGCCATCTCCAGTTGGGTAGTGGCAGCCCAGTGTGGACAGCTGCCTGCCCGGGAGGCCAGGGGGACCAGGCCCCTGCCTCCCCTCTCTCTTCAGTGTAGGTCCAGCCTCAGTTCAGGCTCCTCTGTTCCCATCTTAGATAGGGCATTGGCAGAGGTGCTGATGGCTCAGCCCTGGCCTGAGGGGATGGGGAGGGTCTCACCTATCTGACCAGTTTTGGAGCCAGGGAAGCTTTTCACAGCTACTTACAGGGGCCATTTCTGCAGCCCCTCCTGTAAACTCAGCACATTATAGTAAGATAATATGTGCCAAAGTCTTCAGTATAATTTTCCTGCTCAGCTTATCACAGGAAATAAAGCATCAGATACCATTTTCTAAGGCTAAAGCTGTTTCTTTTGAAAACTATTTAGGCAAAATGAATACTGTCTCTATCTTGAGAAGCATGTCTTCAGTCAGTGCATGCTGCCTCTGCTGACAGTTCCTCCCTGTCCCCATAGTAGTCTGCTGTATCAGTCCAAAAGGCAATGCAATGCTAACAAGGACATAGCATGGGGGAGGAGTACATGTAGCTTTCCTATGCCAATTCTCCTCGGCTGTGCCCTATTCTCACAGCTAGTGGCTGTTCCTCTCTGTGCTTAATGCTCTTGGTCAGATAACCCAACATGAAAGCAATCAGTAGATTTGTTGGTCAGGAAAGACCCACTCCTTGCTGTGAGGCATCCCTAGCTTTGACTAGTAAAACCAACTGCCTTCTGTTTCAGCAGTCTAAACCAAATTTGGTTTCTAGTCTAGGCTCAAAGACCTTGATGTTTTCTTGTAACTGTTCTGCCACTTATTGTGCTTAGAATAACCTGAGGCTATAAAGGGTTCTAAGACTCTAAAAGCGCATAGAACCATGCTGCTCATCTTTTCCATGCTTCCTTAAAGCAATGTGTCTTAAAAGTTACTGATGGCTTAACCTTTTCCCCCAGGTGAGACTGGGGAGACACAGGAACTGACGGGAAAAAGAAATGTATGCCTAAACTGGTGGTGGGTTCTGATGACCAATGCAGTTGGGGACAGTAAATCTAGTGCCACTGAGCTCTACATAAACTTGAGGCTGAATGCTGTGATGATGCCTGCTGCAGTGCCTGGCAAGTACTGTGTTCATTCTAGCAACAAGTAAAACTTCCTTACGGAGATTCATTTGCATGTTGAAGCCCAGCCCTCTGTAGTGGGTCCTTCAACTAGCAGTGGTCAGATACCAATTGCACTGCTTCATTCAGCTTAAAGAAATCTTTCTTTGTGGAGTGAGTAGAGAATGCCTACTTTTCTGTGCCACATCTCAGAAAGCAGTAACTTTGTACAAGTCCCTTTCTAATATAGTAGAGATGCTTTCTCTTTTGGAAGAGGAAACACCTCAGCCTCTGAACTTGGTTTGCTCTTAATGGCAATTAAGCCTCTTCTCACAGTGGCAAACTACAGTGCTTTAGATTTTTCATGCCTGTGGCATCTGTGAGTAGCTCTTACAAAGACTGAATTGGATGGCACTATCTGAACAATAAACCAAACATAGCAATTCAAGTGTAAACTGGTCTGAAACTAGTCTCTTGTGTACTGCTTCTGCAATATTAACTGCTTCCACAACATAGATCTAAAGTAGAAACAGGAGTGCTTTAAGCATGCTTGCCCTGAAATGATGCAAAAATTATTTCAGAATATTGTTTGAGAACTAGAGAAAGCTACAGCAGGCTTCATGCACTGTTATACCTGGTGAACAAAGAATTGAGGTGAGGATGGCTATAGATGCAATGAAGTTCAGATCTCTGCAACTTTTTTCCGACACAAAGACTGGAGCTAAAACAACATCCAGTCTTCTCTACTTGCTTTAAAAAGCTCTCATCTAGTAGTAGCTGTCCATTATGAATTGATCATTTGGGCTGCAGCATAGATGTGTATATATGGTGAATAACAAGTGATATTATGACTAATAAAGATTCACATAAGGCAGATATTTAATACAAATGTGGATAATATAACTTCCTTTTACTTAGCAAATTGGAAACAACTCTCATATGTACTGCACGACGAAGCTGATTGCCTGATTTAGGCTCTCCAGATCATGTAAGATTTCTCTACCAAAATATATTGTGTTGAATGTATTTTCCTTCCACCTCTATGGAACAACCTCGGTGCCTGCAGCTTAATTACTGGTCAGTCTCTTTTGCTCCTTATCTAGAGAGAAAGTGTTCAGAGGGAAATATTGACTCAATTCATCATTTGAGGTTTTAATGAGGTCCTTATCTTGATTAATGCTCGAGACAGTTCTAGAATCTAGAATCTCTAATACTGTAGCTAGGAAACTCATTTGTAAAAACTAAACCTACAAATCTTAGCATTAGATGTTCTCTTTTCTCCTCCTGGTCACTACTTTGCATTTGAAAAACTATGCGGGACATGCTTAAACTCTAGCATGAGCTTGTATTTGCTCAACTCTTAAGAGATCTGGATTAAAATGAGAAGGCTCTTCGTTAAGACTACTGACAAGGAGAGAACTCTTTCATCACTGATTTCTTGTACTATTGGTAAGCACTTCAAAGTTACCAGGCATGAGAATACCAACAGCCTGTTGAGAATATGGTGATCTAACCCCTTCCTCATTAGGAACTGAGACACCTGGCACAGTCAGTGGCTTCACTCTGCAAAGGAGTCATCTCTGGATTGGAGGCTAAAACTAGGGCAGATGAGTAGAAAACAAAACTTTCACTGATTAGGTGAACAGGCTGCCTGAGATGTCCATTTACTATGGCCCGTATTGCTTGCTTTTACGACAGATTCTGTTACTGTTTTGGTGCAAAAACTGCCTAAACTAAAGTAGGCAGCTATTTCTTATTTTTTTAAGCAGGAGGGCAGTGTTCCACTTCAGTATGCAGTTATCCTTACTTTCCATACTAGAGCCTGAGCTAGGCTAGCGTGGCATTGCAAGTCTAGACTTGCTGTTAGATGATGGAAAATATGCAAAGCTCAAAATTTTAAATAAAAGAACAATTCTTCCCTCAGGGAAAAGAGATAGTTTAATAGAGCTAATCGTTGCATGACAAAGAGACTTGTTTTTTCACTTTCCCCAGAACTGACTTCTCTAGGGATGTGAAGCTAAAAGCAGATAAATTGAATTCTCTGATGCATCACTGCAGAATACAGAACAGCTATGTCAAATCTATACTTGCACCTTTCTTTGATAAACAAAGGTCTTTCTCGAGTCAAGAGCAGGGAGTGGGGAATGAAGAACAAAAAAAGAAGGTAGAATGGAAGGAAAACAATATCTACTAGTATTAAGAATCAGAGTTCCTTAGAGGTTGTTTGTCTTTAAAGTTCATGCTCTGATACAGTTGTTTTCAGCAATGGAAAGACAGCTTGTATTTTCTTGGCTGTAGAATCTCCAGATGCCTTTAGGAGGTATGCCGTTTTGTTTTGGCTGATTCTTTGTAGGCAAGCACTGCTGAGTGGAGTTGTTGTAGTAATAAACAGAAACACAAGGTACCTGTGCTACAAAAGGGAAGAGGTGAAACTGAAGTTAGAGTTACAAGATGAAAGCATTAAAAAAAAGCATATAGTCCATTTCGGATTGTACATGCATTTCTGAAGCAGAGCTCCAGGGCATGCTGTAGTTCACAGTGTAGAGTGATCTTGGTGTGCAAAATTCTGCTCAGATGAAAGTTGAAATTGAGTGGAAGATGCTCTTCAACAACTAAAAGATATCCAGTTCCCTACGAACAGACCACAGCTAACTATCAACTGTGGTCATCAGTGTTATTAATCTGTTCCTACTACACTGTTAATTGCTGCTAATATAGATAACAGCTTTTTAATCATTTACAAGTCAAGAACAAGAAGTCCTTAGCTGCCAGCTTCCTCATCTGGAAGACAAGATTATTTTTGTAATCTTTGTTTGGTTCTAGACTCCACAGGCACTGAATAGAAACTATCACAGTTGAGACTGAATATTCCATACAGTTTAGATGTTTTCATATTAATTTCTGTTCATATTCCCAAACAGCTCTTGCTAGCAGGGAAACTAGGAGCATGAGACCCTCCTATCTGTCTAATGACGCCTGCTTCTAGAAAATAAGCGCTTTCTTTTCCAGAGGGGAAAAGCACCTGCTTGCAAACTACTGAAACTGAACACTGACTCCCCATTACCACAGCTCAGAAACAGCCTCGGATTACAGCTCACCATCAGCAGTAACGCACAGCAGGCTGGAGGTAACAAAAACCTGGCTTTGTGCCAGAGAGAAAGAGTTTGAGTAAAAGCATCCAGGAGTAATGCTGGCTTGTCTGTATGTAGTTATTTCGATATACAGTTAATATTGCTTAAGAAATGTTCATCTGCCTGAGATTACTTCTGCAGGTGGAGGTAAACCAGACGTTAGGTTAAAACAGTAATTTGCAAAGACTCAACATGTGACATGAACTAGACTGGCTAACAGAACAAAACCACCTGCTGCATTCAGCATACATGTAGAACGCCTTCAGCTGGTACAGGATACTCCATTTTCAGGTCTTCCTTCTAATAATCTGTACTAGATGCTAAATAAAAATGCTTTAGGAAGGGTTATTAGCAACTTATTAGCAACTAGGCTCACAAAAATTTTCACGCTTGGCACTGCTTCTTTTCACTCTAAGATGGATCAAGAACCCTAGTCTCTTGGGTACATGCTCAGATTTCAGAAGGGGCAGATACAGCTGGCTGTATTTTTTGCCATTAAAAGCACAGAATATTGTTATAGCAAGAGCTGAAGTCTTTCTAACCTTGAAAAGCAACTTTTAACAGTGAAATCTTTACTTCCCAGTCAGTTCACATTCCCATGCCTATAAACAAGTTCTTGTAGGGCTAAGAAGAATTAGATCCACAAGTGAATATGAATGTATCATTTATTTGAGGTGGACAATTCACATCATTGAAAGTCACAGGTAACAAATCTTATCTTGAATTTGAATCAGATGTTTACTTTATAGTTTTCAGGGGCAGCTTCAGAGAAAGTAAAATACAAAAGATAAGCAGCACGCATCACAATCAGATGCAATTGAGGAGAAAAAAACTAAGATGTGAAACCTCAGAATGCAATTTAAACAGCAAAAAGAAAAAAAAACCTGACTCGGGATGAAAAAGACGCATCTTGAAGGCAATCCACTGAATGGCTTCTTCAATTATTTATTGTTAAAAAAAGTATGCAAACAATGGCACGGGCATATCCAACCCTTTCAGCTGCAAGAAGAAAACCTTGTCCTAACATATTCATTGCATAAGTCTAAAGTAATACACAGAAAAATTTCAAGTAAAGGATTATGCTCTGAAGTAAAAATTCCATTTAAAAAATGAGAAGGCTATCTGTTTTTCTTCTCTCCATCCACGGGTTGATCCGTTTCAGAGTCATATTGGCATTTTTCCACGCATTTCCTAGGGAACCAGCCTCGTTCTCTTATTCCACCTTAAGACATGAAAAGTTGCATTAACTTGGAACAAACGTGACCCACTATAGATGAAAAACACAGGACTGGAAGAGACATCAAGAGGTTACCTAGGTTATTTTCTTTTCCAAGGCAGGACACCTAAGTCATTCATAACATCATTGCCTGGGACGCATGGATTCTCTCCCACTGCCTAAAATGTTTTCAGAGATCCCCAAAGTTTTCCAGTGCTCTACCTTCCTCACTATTAGAAACTTTTTCCTAATACCCCATCTGACTCTTTCTGTCTATAATTCAAGTTTACAACTCCTCTTTCTACACACCAGGGACATAGGGAGCAGTTAACAACCTTCTCTACAACACGCTCTCATACAGCTGATGACTATTTGCACATACCCTGACTTTCTCCTGTCTCCTTTCTCTCTCCATATAAGCGACTCCAGTTTTTTCAGCTTTCCCTTTTAAGCCACATTTTCTAGTACTCTGATTATTCTTATTGTTTTCCTCTCAACCCTTTACAGCTGATTTTCCTCTTTCTTGAGATGCAGCAACCACTTTTACTTCTGGCAGTCTTTCAGCTGAGTCTCTGCCAATGCTGAGTAGGACAGAAGAATTACTTCATGCATCTGGTAAGCTATGTGCTTTTCTCTTTTTTTGCAAGTGTTGACTCATCTTAAGTCTATGATTGACTCTCTTTTTCCTCAGAACAATCACTACTTAATCATTAATTTTTCCATCTTGCTACAGTACAGCTTGTTATTCCTGCCTATTTACAGCATTTTGCTATACATTCCTAACAAGTCTCATCCTGTTTTTGAAGCCTAGTTCTCCAAAACACTGCTTATTTTGAATTCTAATCCAGCCTCTCAGTACACACCAAGTTCCCCACCCAGATCACATTTCACCTGATTAAAAAAAAAAAAAACAAAACACATTTGATATAGCACAGATATCTCCTGCTAATCTTCACAATAAGCAACACAATACAAACTATTACCATGCTCATTCAATGACTCATTTAGGTTTGATATTTGAAAGAGTTAATTGGACTGAGCTGCTGAAGCGCTTCTAGCCCATGAAGGTCTCAGACCTCCCATGAAAAGCATGGATGCCTTCAGTGTAGTGGCTGTTGGCTGCCTCTCTTTTGCCAACAGGAATGAGCATGCAAAATTGTTTGGAAGAGACAACAGAATCCAACACACCCTCTGGCAGATAAAGTTTTAGCTCAATCCTAAGGCGTGCTAAAGTAAAAAATGCAAAAATGTCACTGCAGCGGCTGTAAGATGTTGTCTCTCTGCAGACCAGTAGGACCCTTTAATATCTTTGATAGCTGTAGTTGTTAGTTTCATAAATGCATATCAAAATCCTTGAAATTGACCTCAAACCAAAGACGTAAGTCTCCTCACTTTTAAGATGCGCAAAGAGTAATCCCAGGTCTTATACGTATACGCAGCGTTTAAGCAGGAAATCTGAATGTGTTTAAGAAAGACCACTATTTAATTATATTAAAAAAAAATCCTCATTAACTTCTTTGTATTCTAAGAAAAAGTTAAGACCTTTAGACCCTGAAGAAGTGCACCCTTTCCCACTCAACCTTCAACAAACTACTAGATAAGTGTTCTTTCAGTCTGACAGATTGATTTAATGTTTGTCAAAGCTGGCAAGTATACCAGCCGCAAAGAGTCAAAACTGTGAATGTGGTTTTAGAGGGGAGAGAAGCTAACGCCAGTAGGGCCACACATTTTATGTTTTGAGAACAGAACATGTAACGTTCTCCACACTTCTAGACAGCTATAAAACTGATTTGTAATTTTCAACAGAAAAAGTGAAAATAACTGCTTCATACCATCAGCAGCTGAGTCGAGAATCTTCTCACCATACATCCAGTGTCTGGGGAAGAAAGTGTAATATGTAATTAGATACCAGAACTCATCTCAATATTTCTTTTAATCAAACATAAAGGTGTGGAGCCACTAACTTTAAGCCTCTTGTGGCTAAAATCAGATCCCCTTTACTCAGTGCAATTCTAGGTTCTTCAGTGCATGGTGTTGTGAAGAATGTTTTAACACCTTTAGTCACAGGACAGCAGACACCACTGTAATCTTCTAAGGCTCGATACCGCACCTACAAATTTGAACAGAACATGGCAATATTATTGTAAGAAGTTATGGCCTTGCTGACAGTTTCATACTAAAAAAGAAAAATCGATTCAAGCACACTGTTAGACTTGAGCATAATGACAATGGCTGTCAAAGGGACTCTAAATTAACTGCTTAACAATGAAGTACAGTCATCTTTATTACACCTTTCTTACCATCTGGAAATTAAGGAGCAAAGGTAAAGAAAGCTAAATGCTAAGTTTAATTAAGCAGAGCTTGCAGCACACTGTGTAGAAACACAAAGCCTTTATTTAAATGCTAGGTTAAAAAAAAAAAAAATCAAGAAAAGAAATAGTCTCAGCAATTACTTAAATTTATCTATACTGATATTTCAAAGTTAATTCAGATCAAACTTCACAAATACTTACACTTCTTACTCGCTTGTCTGCTTTCTGTTTCAGTTGCTCTATCTATAAACGATTATAAATAGAAATTTAAGCAGTGTTTAGTTTAAGAGGCCTTATGTATTCAACACAAAGTGAATTCAGGTATCAAAATGATTCAACAAACGCAGGAAATATCATTAGCATTTAAAATCACTCACAAAAGCATAACTTTTTAGTCTATCAAAAACAGGAGAACATTTGACACAACTCCTGTTTCTCAAGTATATGTATTACTAGACAGTCTATTTCAGTTATTTAAAAAGCTGGCATATTACTGCAAAGGAAAGCAGACAATTGGATAGCGAGGAGGATTAACTCTAAGATATCACCAAAGACCAGTTACCGTTAAACTGTATTGATGACAGCCATCTCTTACTGGCCAATCCAGGCCGTCTCCCTCAGGAATCCCAGACCACGTAAACACTTGCTTGAAGTTCTTCCATTTACTCCCCATGTCATAGGGAAAAACAAAGGTCTCACCCGTTTGGTAGTACTGGATTCTGTCTTTGGCCTGGAGAACAATTAAAAAAAATACAGTATATGAAAACCATACCCTACGAACTGCAAATATTAAGGCGGCCAGATCATAAGCCCTGTATGAGACCATGAGATGTAAAGGCAAACGTTTTGAGGCAAGAGCAGTGCATCCCGCTACGCCAGCCCCGGCTTTTCAAAATACTTACAACCACCATGGCACTCGGCAGCGCCCGGTTCGGCTCTGACCCCGTTCCTGTTTAACGGAGCGAGCTGGTTAACACCGGAAAGCCCACCCCACGCTCTCTTAGTTTTATTTTATGCCTTTTTCCGAAGACTGACGTCACGCACACAGCCTCGCCGGCTCAGCATTCCCCGACCGACCACCACGAGCGCAACCCAACGCCGGCGGCGCGCGGGGGCGCCTCGTGCCCGCGGTAACGGCGCCATCTCGCGGCGCGGCCGCGGAACAGCCGGTTCTTCTCGCGGCAATAACGAACGTCTTCATGGAGCGCTCAGGCATTGCCTGTGGTTCGCAGCAAAAAAAAATTTAACAGATTATTCTAAATTCCACTATATAGTTGAAACGGGGTTTTCTTTCCTTTACGTTCCTATTACTCAAGGGTCTACCGCGTTCAGCTCTGGAGTCCCCAACACAAGAAGGACACGGAGCTGCTGGAACGGGGCCAGAGGAGGCCCACCGAGATGATCCGAGGGCTGGAGCACCTCTGCTATGAAGACGGGCTGAGAGAGTTGGGGCTGTTCAGCCTGGAGAAGAGAAGGCTCCAGGGTGATCCTATTGCAGCCTTCCAGTACCTAAAGGGGGCCTACAGGAAAGCTGGAGAGGGACTTTTTACAAGGGTGTGTAGTGATAGGACAAGGGGCAACTGAAGGAGGGCAGATTTAGATTAGATATAAGGAAGAAATTTTTCACTCTGAGGGTGGTGAGGTACTGGAACAGGTTGCCCAGAGAAGTAGTGGATGGCCCATCCCTGGAAGTGTTCAAGGCCAGGCTGGATGAGGCTTTGGGCAACCTGGTGTAGTGGAGGGTTTCTCTGCCCATGGCAGGGGGGTTGGAACTAGATGATCTTTGAGGTCCCTTCCAACCCAACCCATTTTATGATTCTAATAGGACCAGGATCCAGCTAAGCTAGATTCCATGCAAAGAGAAGGCATCACAGTTCTTAGGAACTTATTCACTGTCAAGATCCTGACGCGAATTTTGACACAGAATAAGCGACAACAAGATAATAGTGAAATGCTTGTGTACTTAGACAAAATAACTTGGTAGCACCGGACCAGTTTGTAAACATTGAGTCAGTTTTGCTTCCTCTAAACCTTAGCTTCTGCTGCTTGGCTATACATCTTCCAAAAAAATCTTGTGAAAACCTTTAAAAGGATCTGGTAATCAAAGAGAAGTTTAAAAGAAGAGAAGACTAGGTATCTCATTATTTTCTAGTAATTCTTCAAAATCAAGGAAAATCCTCCCAAGTTTGATCAGAGAGATAGGAAACAAGGAAAATCATGAGCCAAAACACGTCACCTAGAATGGTTAGGGGAGGTGGACAATTAAAGACCCAGGCAAGCATAAGAAGCAAAGACAAGTTTCAGAGTAAAACATCCATATGTTCCAAACAGATAAGCAAAGTCTCCTAAAAGCAAATATTTTTCTACGTTCACACCAATTCCCCTAAAAAAAAAAGAAAAGCAAAATCTCTGCAGTTATCTGATTTTACATCTATCGCAGTGACTTTCAGAGACAGTAAGGGAAAAGCTGGCTGTAGGTGTTAAGTCAGCGGTGAACTGAAATGACACCTTTGGTTTAAATTCAGAGATGTGAAACAAAAAATGGAGAATAAACAAAAACAAATAATAAACAAAATAATAAACAAAATAATAAACAAAATAATAAACAAAATAATAAACAAAATAATAAACAAAATAATAAACAAAATAATAAACAAAATAATAAACAAAATAATAAACAAAATAATAAACAAAATAATAAACAAAATAATAAACAAAATAATAAACAAAATAATAAACAAAATAATAAACAAAACATGGAGAATAAACTTTGTAACAATACAGTACGAGAATAGTGTAATAAAAGCTTACCTTTTCTTCAATCCAGGACTCGATTGAAGTTTTATTTGTCAAAATGACTTTCATCTAAAATAAAAGTGTTACGTGAAATTAGCATTGATTTTCTGCAGAAATACATCAGCTAGGCGAAGAAAACTTGATTTAACAAACCAAATTTGCTTTAAACAACAGAGCAACTCTCACAGGTTTAACTGAAACATACGAAACATTCAAAATGAAGATTTAGCATAGATACATGCTAATGTTATCCTCTAGAACTATACACTTAGACAGTATCACATAGTATTTCAGTTTATGCCTAAAATGTGCATTTTTGTTTCCTTCCAAAGATCTCAAACATTTGAAGTAATATATCAGGCATATTTATACCAGTTTTCAGGGACAGGGGCATGTACTCTTGAAATACCAAGTATTTTGCCTTTTCCAGAGAGTTTATAAAGCCCATCTCATATTTTCTTAGTTCATTAACATTTTCATCTCCAACTTCTCTCATAAGGAAAAATAAAATAATTGCAGTAACAACAGAGGAACTGGGAGAAAGCAACATACAACCCTGGAAAAGTTACACCGCAACATAAGCTCTAGACAACTGCTCTCATCTCCATTCTGAAATCTGTGTCTGCTCCACAACCAGGCAAAACTTACAGATTTTAATTTCTTTGTAATAGAAGCCATAAACTTACCTGGATAATAAACAGCATGCCAACGGCAATAGTTGTTCCTAATGCCAGTCCTAAGGCAAATAAAGATGCAGCAAATGCAGACAGTCCAAAGGGAATAATGGGTCGAGGGTCTCTTTTGGCTGCACTCATATCAATCTTTACAGAACTCCACCCAAAAGATATCTGCAAAGAGAAAATAGCATCATTCAGCTCTAGAACATTCCAACTGCTGAAACAAAACAGATCATCCAAAAGAAATCTGGCTTTGAAGGTAGGTGCCCAACTTCTGATAGGTTTATAATGCAAGTGGAATAATTAAAAAAAAAAATGCATTCAAAAGGTTTTTCTCTTCAGAAATACATTCTTTGCTAGATGTAGGCCAAAATCACCATCTTGCGAGCTCCACGTTAGGCCTAAAAATCTGCACTATGGTACATTAACAAAAACGCATTCACCAGTTTCAGATGGAAATTGTTGGCATATCACAGCATCCATTTTCAATGGAAGCGCTACAGGTGTGGTGGTTTTAGGCTGATCCAGCAACTAAAACTCACACAGTCTCTCCTTCTCCAGTAGAGAGGAGAGAAAAAAAAAAAACAACAAAGGGACTGAGGGTTGAGACAAGAACAGAGGGAGCACCCACCAACCATGGTCCTGGGCAAAACAGACAGGGCTTTCTCAAAGCAAGAGTTCAACCTAACCCACGACAACAGGTTTTTCCTCTGAAAGCTTTAGCAGACAGCAGTTCTCAACATTACTGCTCTGCAGATACAACACACAGCCTTCATCTGTTACACTCAGTTCATGTTTTCCAGCTCTTCATCGCAGCCACAAAAGCCAAAAATCAAAGCTTATCATCTTAACCATGGATCTGAGATAAGGGATACATTCCAGAACAAGCTTTTCTCATTATTGCTGCAGTCAAATTTTCCCATTTAAAGACAAATTCAACATAATTTATTTTTGGTTCCAAAAATAATGTACTTTTTTCCCCCCCTTGAAGAGAGATACAATTCTAAAAAGGTAGCAAGCAAATGAAAATAAATAGCACCTAACTTGTGCGTCGGGAATAAATAACAGCTAGCTTCTGTGCCAGCCAAAACACAGCCTGTCTCCTCTCTACAGAAAGTACTACTCAGAAGCTACCTTCAGTCAATGGAAAGCTCTAGGAAACTCCTAGTGATTATAACAAGAGGGGGAGGAAGGAGAGAAAATAAAAACAACTTTCTCTGAATCCTCCTCTAATTAATGAACATACTTCTCACAGGTGGAGAGCAGAACTGAGTGTACATGTTGAAAGAACAAGAAGGAATTCCACATGCTGCTTCTCAAGAAACCAAATCATCTCACACTTCCAGAAATAAAATACCCATCTGACTTAAACAATATTTTAAGCATTTAATTATGTTTCCTTACTCTGTTGTAAAGCTGAGTGTACATAGTCATAACAAATATGAAAGAAGCGTGAATGCATCCCAGTGGAGCTAAGAGGAGAAACAGAGTGAAAGATGCATGATTCTGGTATCCACAACAGTTGTTGATCCAAGGACAATGGTGATCCATCTTCATTACACATCTGTGAAGAGTAAGTATTGATTAACATAGAGGACACTACATTGTTTTTCCAAAAAGCTCAAAGGAAAGGACAACTAACTTTCTAGTACTTGACCTCCATTCCTTCATTTAAATCCACCAATTTCCAACAGATCAACACAACAGTGACTATTTTTGTTGCTATTTAGAATGATATTTCATGTTGTAGCGTGAAAGAAAGCAAACCAAAAAGTTCTCCCAGGTCCTACTCTCCCTAATTATCCCCCCTCTTTACTCAAACTTGCTAGTTGCTAATAAATACCATATTCCGGAGACAGAAGCCTAGAATGGGAAGTTTAAGAACTATAAGCACAATAATTAAGCACTAATATTATTGCCCATTTTTTTAAATAAGCACACCAGGAAAATAAAGGAAACATCAAATCCCCTGTGAGCTACTTGCAAAAGAAACATAAAACTACATAGACAGAAGTGTGTTAATGTCTTTTTCTTTTCAGTAGCAGACTCTTTGAAAGCTTCACTAATTGCTGTGTAGTGATCTTATACTACTGTAAATTGTTTTCAAAATCTGTTTAACAAACATAAACACCCTAGACACACTCTTGTATTCAGTATAAAGCTGGTTATTTTGGTTTAGCTTACAGGTGCAGAAAAAATATCTGATAAAAGATTTGTCCACATCCCAAATTGCATTGATTCAACTTAGCAGCTGTAAAAGTCACTAATTATAACGTTGCAATTCACCTGCACCAAACCTGTGTTACTTTTTTGATGATTCCAAGTAGCTTAGAACAATATCCCTGATGTTTCAGATCAAATACATTCAGAAAAATAAACAGAAAAAAAACCAAAAACAAATTAAACCTGAGTGATAAACAATGGATTGAAATACACAAATATCCAGCTCCTCTGAAAATACACTGTTTTGGAACTACTGATCTCATTATCTTCTAAGCTAGTGCGTTGGCAATAGGAAGTTCAGTTTCTCCCTTTTAAAGAGTTTGTTATTCTTCATTAGCATATGCTTGAATGCCACTGCACAAGTTCTTGAACATGTAGTCATAATTATAAGCACAAGTGTTTCTGAACAAGTTCCTAGATGTTAGCTAGAAACCTCACCCCACTCAGGTGGGCCACAAGAAGCGACTCCATTCGTGCACTGAAACTTGCCCTAGCACAGAAGGCCTTCAGTGGTGGTTAAAGTTACCCACTTCATTGCAAGAGGCTAGAAATACATGTGGCATGAGTTACTTTGGCTAGAGTGGAGGGGGCAGAAAATTCTTAAAGTGTATCAGCAAAATGATTTGGAGAATGTGCTGCAATTTCTTCAGTTTTATTTGACAAAAAATAAATTATTTAAAGAACTTGCTTTTGCGAAGACCATCAGAGAAAACAGCAGCAGATCCTGGTAAGTCACTCCAGGAAAAGAGACTAATTTTAAACCTCAGGATGATGCAGCCAAATTACAGCACTGCTCTAGAGTTTCAGTCTCTACTTTCCGGAAGCGCACTGACTGTGCACCTTGTGTTTACACAAATAACAAATGAATGCATATCTTACAACATCATCTTACCACACTCTCTAATAGTCCTTCAGAGGAGGACCTGCCCAGTAAAACCAAGACAAATGCAACTACAGCCTGGACTGCAGACAGCTGAAGTGGCTTGCTCTTTTCAAGCTGCACTAAATTTCAGCGCAGCTGTTTATTATAAAGGCATCCCTTACCTCAGAACAAGTATGCTGGAAGACTAACACATAACTAGCCACAAACTTTTTAAGTTCACCCAGAAGGCTTATCAGTTAAGTGAACTTACAAGTTCACTTAACATGCAGACTCTCCTCAAAAAAAATCAAATCTTTAGTGAAAAGTAAAGAACAGCCCCTAATCAACAAATAACTCCCATTTGGAAAAATGACAGAATAGGTTTTTCTACTCCCTGAGCAGGTGAATGTTTGGACTCAGAACTTATAAAGGACCCAAAGATTGTTAAGTATTTACACAGGCTCACTTCTCTGAAACAGTACTGCAATGTTTTGTTAATATTGCCAAGAAGTTCTGAAGAGGAACTGATTTCAAGCTAAAAATAAAACGTTAAAGACATATTTATATATTAAACTAAAACACAGTAAAACCATACAGAAATCATACAGTGAGAAAGCAAAAATATTTGAAATGGGTACAGTATGGTGTTCATATGGAAGTCTTTTAAAAATGCACAATACAAGACTTGGAAAAACAAATTATATTAATAGCTCGTGTCATTAGAGTACAAGGTGCTTTAATATGGATTTAAACCAATTTTAAAGACAGACAGTACCTGTTACACTTTCGACAGTGGTGTGAACGTGGTGCCTTGTAAGACTGACACACTTTACAGTATTGGAGATACATGCAATCCTGAGATTTTTCCTTTAAACAGAAAAATAGGCGTGTTATACATATACATAATTCTACCAGCAATACATATCTTGGCATTTCCCTAACCTAAGCATCTTCGCTTTCTTCTGACAGGGTGTGTTTCATAACCCAACCCTATTTAATAGTAGGTGGAGAGGAGAGAAAAACATAAAATGAAATAATCTCTTGGCTATCAACACAAACCATCTTCCACTGTTGAAAGTGATGGTTGCTAAAAGAAATAAACAGTTCTTACATCAGAAAAGCAACTGTACAAGCAGGGTTTCATAGTGAAGTACTGAAAGTAAAAAGCAGCATGAAGTCTTTATAATTAAAAAAAAAAAAGCTTGTGCATCTTCTCTTTCTATTTTATGCCATGAGCATAAAATCTAGCAATCTAGGCTTACTACTAAGATACAGTACTGGCGCGCATTAGTCTTCAATTAGCTTGTTTGCCACTTTCTCTGTCTTACGTACACTAACTACAGTAAGACGAGAGACAGACAGACTTGTAGATAGCAAGTAGTGACGCTGGCCAAAATCTTCTGTTCACGAAGTGGAATACCCAGTTGTCCTGCTAGGATTACATCAGGATCCTCTCCTCACTGGACTGTGTCCTGAGAAACATTCCCCAAGTAGAAATGTGATTGTTACTAATCTTCATATCATGCCCCTGGAACATAAACCCTGGCCAGCTGTCTTGAGATACTGAACCTGTATCGTTCTGGTCCTTGACTACTACTCTTCCAAGAGATTACTGAAGAAAAGGAAATGCAAGTTTCTACCTTGCCTTATGATATTGTATTAAATTTAAAATACACACGTCATTTTCTGGCTCATATTAAAAAAAAACCCAACTAAATTTGCTAAATGAAGTTCTTTTAATCCTTATTACTAGCAGAAAAGTCATCAATACAACAGTGCCTGCATGAGCGTGCGGATAACCTTGAAGTTCCCATTCCCGGTTAACAGGACTTATTTCCTGTTGTTTTGCTTTGAGAAGCACCTACAAAACATAAGGAATACTGCCAATAAAGAAGCATTACCGTTCAGCCCCAGATCCCTGTAACTGACAGAACAAGGAACGGATGGAGTAAGCTGGAGCATACTTGAAACGCTGGAAGCAGCAGCGGAGCTGAAGAGAGGCAGAAAGTGGAGATGTCGAAACAAGATAAGGAGAAAGAGTGGCCTGAGGGGCTGGCTGCATTCTTCGGGGAGAACGGGGAACCGGCGGCATCAAAAGACACTCCATCTCTACTGTCTTTCTGATGTGGGCACACGCTCCTCGCGGAGAGGCCGGCC